TTTTTTTTTTTAGGAAAGTAATCAGTGATCCATTTACTTTATCTTTTTTGTATCTTTTTTAAAATTCTCTAGTCAATTCAAAGATCCTATTATTCAGCAAGAAGTAATGGAAGACAAAACCAGCAGGTTTACCTGCAAAGGAAAACCAGTTTACCATTTCATGGGGATCAGTACCTTCTCTCAGTACACTGTCGTATCAGATACTAATCTGGCCAAAATAGATGATGATGCAAATTTAGAGAGAGTCTGTCTGCTTGGATGTGGGTTTTCAACTGGCTATGGAGCTGCAATCAACACTGCCAAGGTAAAATGGTTAATCACCACGTTCTATAAAACAGAAGTTATTAGGGGGCAGCGTGATAAAGCAGCTAGGATTATCTTCAAACCCTGGCTCTGTATTTATCATCTCTGTGATTTTAGGCAAGTTATCTAACCTCTTTACTTCTACTTCTGTATAATAATATCTATTACAAATTACTGTGGGAAAACTAAATCGTATTGCATATGTAAGACATCTGGCCCGGTGGGTGACATATAGTTGGCACCCAATTCATGTCCATTTCTTTTCCTTTACTAGTACGTTATATTATAGGTCAGCCCTAATTAAATAACAGCCTGCTCAAATATGTCCCCTAAACATGATCCTCATCCTGGGACCGCAGACCCAGTCAGGAGAGGAGACAAACTGCAGAGGCCCCACCCACCCCCACATGGCCGTGCCTACTTTCTTCCTGAGGGTATCAGGGGTGGGCAAACTTTTTGACTTGAGGGCCACAGTGGGTTCTTAAACTGGACCGGAGGGCTGGAACAAAAGCATGGATGGAGTGTTTGTGTGAACTAATATAAATTCAAAGTAAACATCATTACATAAAAGGGTACGGTCTTTTTCAAACGGGCCGTAGTTTGCCCACGGCTGGTACAGATTCCTCCCTAAACTGTAGTAATTCATCTCTGCTTCTCTCCCTATCCTTTTGTGGCTCCAGTGCAGGGTCTCAGATGGCAGCCCTAATGGTGGAAAGGTATGCCCCTGAGTCCCATGTTAGAATTTATAAGCTTTTCAAAGCTGTTTAACTCAGAGACTAGAGAGATGTCAGTATCCCTCAAACAATCTCCTTATTTAAATCTCCTCAACATCAGTCTTCATCCCTTGACTCCAAATTGCAACTAAAATTGGCCTTTCTAAACAACACATACGACTACTCACCCCCCTTCCATTATCCCTCTTTTCCTTACGGATGCTGCGGTGGTTCTCCCTACTTTTCCCTGTCCAGCCTTGCCTCCAGTCACTATGGCCTCGGGGCTTTGCACACCTTGCTCCCATCAACATTGCCTGGAAAGCTCTCCCACCGCTTCTGGCTGGCTTTTCGTATTTGCCACTTCCTGTTGGAAAACTGCTCCAGTCCTTTGGGCATGAATTAGGTGCCCCTTGCAGTTTTCCCCAAAGTATCCATGTTTATTCCTGTCTACCTTATCACACTATGGAGGAATTTCCCATTATTTCTCCTTCCTATGAAACTATTTGCTCTTTGAAGGCAAGAACTCTCTCTTATTCATTGTGGTGTTTCTGGAGCCTAACCCTGTGCCTGTCACATAATAGGGATGTGACAATCTTTCAGTGAATGAATGAACAAAACTAGGTTCATATGCAACCCTTAAAACATCTTGAAGTTCCACCCTCAGTTTTGGAACAAAAATTTCTTTTTATCAGATTGCCTAGAGTTGCTGGGTTTCAAGGAAGCAAAGTCATCCTAATGAAAACAAGAAGCTGATTTAGTAACTGGAATATCAAGGTCTGACTTTTCATTGAGAATTATATTGGCCAAGCACACAGGGATGCGAATCTTGGCCATCAGCATATTACCCCCCTCTAAAATATCATTTGTTCATTCATTCATTCACTTATTCACTCATTAATAAAAATTAAAAGTTGTATGGGAAGGGTCCTGGAGGAAGTGTGTTAGTTGGGTAATGTTAACAGCTTATGTGTCCTTGGCAGTCAAAGCACATTCTCCTGTAGATGGCACTGACCTCTCAGGGAAGAATTATTGCTCTTGGGGTTAAACACATCCCCTTTTCTGGACTCCATGCAGATGCTCACCTTCTACTACTGTAATCTTTTTTCAGGAATATTAACACTAGAGATTCAGCTACAGTTTACTTTTAAATCTAGTCAAAGCTTATCTAAATTCCCATGTTATTCCCATTGTTGAGGAACAACTAAACCACCTCAGGAGATGCTCAAAGAAGAAAAATAAATCTGATATAGGACCAAGTAAAGGAAAGGGAAGTATCAGTAATCCTATATAATAAAAGGCTAATATGCAAATTGATCAAACAGCGGAATGACCGGTCACTATGATGCACACTGACCACTAAGGGGCAGACACTCAACACAGGAGCTGCCCCCTGGTGGTCAGTGCGCACCCACAGGAGGAGCACCACTCTGCCAGAAGCCAGGCTCACAGCTGGCGAGTGCAGCAGCAGTGGTGGGAGCTTCTCCTTCCTCCGTGGCAGCTCCAGGGATGTCTGACTGGGGAGCGGGCCTAAGCCGTCAGTCAGACATCCCCCTAGGACTCCCAGACTGCAAGAGGATACAGGTCGGGCTGAGAGACCACCCCCCCTCCCCGAGTGCACAAATTTCGTATACTGGGTCTCTAGTCTATATATATATAAAAGGCTAAGTGTCGTCCTTCCCTCTGATCGGTAGTTATGACACGCACTGACCACCAGGAGACAGACACTCGATGCAGGAGCAGCCATGATGTGCACTGGCCATTTAAAAATAAACAGCACCATGGAGCTGGTGCCAAAAAACCAATACTCAGCTTCCCCCAAGTAGAACAAGCCCTGCCACAACCCCAGAGCGACACCCCACCAAATCACAACCAATGATGCCACTTCTCCTAGTAATTTTGTTCCCAATACATCTCATGGACAGATTTTCTTCTTTCCCTTTTGTTTATGCTTTAATTTTAAAACTTTCCCATCATGATGAGAAAATAGTAATAGTAAGCATCTCTCTATGCAGTGTTGTTGTTGTTTTTGCCACTACCTCACTCTCCAGAGTAACATATTCCAGTTGGTTCTACTTTCTAATTGAATTATAAAGAAAAGATTTGTAGGGAGAGTGTTACCTTAGGCCAAAAACATAGGTTACTACTTTCATTATAGAAAATAAGGTGAAAAGAACAGCAGGCTGAAGGAACAGCATGAACTAAGACATGAGGAAAAGAAAGTGAGACAGTTTGTTGAGGCCGCAGTACTGAGAATATCATGGAGATAAAAATGAAAGGAAATAGGGGTCAGATAATAAAAATCCCCCAATGCCATGCAAGGAAATTTGGATCTATTCAAATTAAATAAATTGATCATTGAGATCACTGAGTTATTTCACATTTAGAGAAATATTAGAGGTCATCAAAACTATAACATTATGCCAAACCGGCATGGCTCAGTGGTTGAGCCTCAACCTATAAACTAGGAGGTCATGGAGGAGGCCCTCTGTACTTTTCCCTTATTTACAGAGTACAGAGCCCTCAGGGCACTGGCCAGGGTGAGGGCTCTATCCCCAGTGTGGGGCATGCAGGAGGCAGCCAATCAGTGATTCTCTCTCATCATTGATGTTTCCATCTCTCTCTTCATCTCAATAAAAATATACTTTTTAAAAAAATATAACATTAACACAACCAAATAAGGCCTATTAGAAATATAGACATCAAACTACTTGTGAACTATTTAAAAGGGCAAACAATAAACCCTTTACAGTGTGTGAGCTTTCAGATTTTGTTCTGATACCACTAAATGGGAAATGAAAACAAGGAAATGATTTCCTTATAAATTGATGAGTCTAATGGCCCTCAAATGACTCTCCAAGTTTAGTCAGTGATTCATTCATTTTTACATTGGTAAATTTCCCCAAGTGGCTAAATCCCTTAGTCTTATGACAGGCGGTCCTTTATATGTTCCTGCCCCCACCTCACTCTGTACCTTTAAAAAAGGGGGGACCAGCTGCTTTAACTTATGATTTTCCTGCCTGCAGGTTACCCCAGGTTCTACTTGTGCCATCTTTGGCCTGGGAGGTGTCGGCCTTTCTGCTTTAATCGGTTGTAAAGTAGCAGGAGCTTCCAGAATCATAGCTGTTGATATCAACAGTGAGAAGTTTGCAAAGGCCAAAGCCCTTGGAGCCACTGACTGCCTCAATCCTAGAGACCTACAAAAACCCGTCCAGGAGGTCATCATTGAAATGACCAGTGGGGGTGTGGATTTTGCACTTGACTGTGCAGGTGGATCTGAAGCCATGGTATGTATGTTTTTTATATTGGTACATAGTAAGTAATATTTATTAACATTAATAAACATTGACAGTATGTATATGTTAATATATTTATTCACTTCATAGTCAATATTAACGTATTTGTATATACATAAATTATGTTTATATAATAAGCAATGTTTATTAATAATGTATTGGATATTATATAGTGTGTTATAATTGATATTTATCTATTAATAAATATTACAGATGACTACTTAATATTAATGTTATTATTACTTGTTTATTCTTCCACATGAAATTCAGAGAAAATTTAGAAGTGAAAAATTTTAAGGAATTGTGCCTGCAAGAAATGAGCAAAACAATGAGAACAGGAAAGGCAGACTTAAAGGAAGAGTAAGAGAATGTGGCTGGTGTCACCTTAACAGCCCGAGGTACCCACTCCCATCAAAAAGCAAAGCAGGGAGAGGCCAGCAACCTACACACAATCCATTCTGTCTGCCAGACCTCATAAAGGGGCTGCAAAATTAGGTCCAAAGTACATATTGAAATTTTTAATATATTAAATACACACATGCTGCAAAATTAAAAGTACATATTTTCTTCGCAAACACTACCATTTTGTATCATTCAGGTTTCCTCTCCTCTCAGGTCGGCTCCCTGACTTGCAGGGCCTGAGAAATTACCTCTGTCTAGTCTATTCTCCTTAGAGTGGGCAGAGCCACCCCCCTCCCAGGCAACAGATGGACCAGTTGACTTGCCAGAGAGCCCAGCATCTTGTTACACCTTCACTCAGCCTGGCCCCTAACACCCTCCTCTAGGGAAGGTTTCATAATAAAAGTCTATGCCTCCACCAGGAGCTGGCTTTGCAGGTTCTTCCCCCTGGTGCTCACCTGACTGGTGGGTGCCCCAGAAGAGTGGAGACCAGCAAGAGCTGCTGAGAGGAGCAGGCTGCCCCTCCCAGAAGAGTTCCATTGTAGTAACAACTGTTTGAAAGAGGATCTGTGAGGTAAATGTTAGCTCTTCCTGAAAACTCATTCATCAGCAGCTCCTGGTCCTGCAGTGCTTCTGTGTCAGGCCCTGCTTTTCACATTGTCCTTCTCACCTGCAGTTTGCAATGTGCCACATCCATTCATTCCTACTCTTTCCACAGCTCAAATTTTTTACAAACATTGAAATTCAGCCTCTTTACCTTATTTCCAGAGTACAGATATTCTCAACACTAGCTACTTTATAAGTGCCTGGGGTGTTGTTGTTTGTTAATACCAGTTGGGGGCTCATGTACCAATATTTTTTACAAGTTTCTCAAGCTGAGAAACACTGACCTGAAACTTGCAGGTTCTTTTATTAACTGATTTATTATACCAAGACATGTATTTTAAATTATGGAATAGAATTACACTAAAGAACCCAAATTTTAAAAGATGCCATTTTTTTTTATCACAAAAAGATGAGCTAGCTACCTACCCTTTCACCAAAAGTTTCCATAAGTAGGGAAAGTTAATTTTCTAGGCTGTAAAGCAGGGGTCCTCAAACTTTTTAAACAGGGGGCCAGTTCACTGTCCCTCAGACCGTTGGAGGGCCGGACTATAGTTTAAAAAAAAACTATGAACAAATTCCTATGCACACTGCACATATCTTATTTTGAAGTAAAAAAAACAAATACAATATTTGTATTTGCATGTGGCCCACGGGCCGTAGTTTGAGGACCCCTGCTGTAAAGGATATTCCACTAATGGCTATGAAAATGATTTCAATGATTTCTCATGCTCTAGGGCAGCCTAAAGAACCGAAGAGAACAATTAGAAAGTTACAATAATTGACAATTATATAAGATATTGAGAATTCAAAATAATTCTGATCAAAAGTTATCAAAGGATACTAAATAAAACCCTGAACTTGCACATAATACCCATTGAACTAAGTCATCATTATGGAGGTTAAATCCTTGCTTGGAGCAAAGCTCAGAAATGTAGAAAAAGCAATAGGAAAAACATAAAAATAAAAAACAGAAATCATTGTAAGCAGCTACCTCAAGGTGACCAGTAGTACCTGTGCTCTTTTCCCCTCAACATGAATCTATGTTGTATATATAAACAATAATAATTCTGCCATATAAAAATTGCCAAAAGCAGAAGTTTCTATTTAGAAATGTTACAAATTCTCAAAACAATAAATAAGCATATAGTCAAATAAAAATTTGAAAACATATTCTTAAAGTTCTAGGTCATTGTGTCTTCTGTCACTAGTAAGACACAGATGGAGAGAGAGAGAAGATGGAGAGAATTTACTGTACTTCAAATTCCTTTTTTCATATAATGATCAGGGATGAAAAGGAACTGTACTTCCTATTGGAACTTCTGTAGAAGTAAAAACTGCCCCAACAGGTCAAAATCAAGTTGCCCCCTGACTATGACAAGGGATATGGCACAAAGTTTACATTTCTCTTCTACTAAAGGCCTGGTGCACGAAATTCATGCACTCAGGGTGGAGGGGGCCCTCAGCCTGGATTGTGAGAGGGCGCAGGCCAGGCCAAGGGACCCCACCAGTGCAGGATCAGGGCCAGGGAGGGATGCAGGAGGGCTTCAGGGCATGTCCGGTCCATCTTGCTTAGTCCCGATCGGCCAGACCCCATCAGCAAGCTAACCTACTGGACGGAGCATCTGCCCCCAGGTGATCAGTACATGTCATAGCAAGCAATTGAGTGGCCTTAGCATATCATTAGCATATTATGCATTGATTGGTTGAATGGCCGACTGGACACTTAGCATATTAGGCTTTTATTATATAGGATGCAGAATGTATAAATTTTCCCTGAAATCCAGTACATAGGCACACTGAAGACATGGTCTACCTTTCTACCTACTCAACTGATCTTTATTATTTAACCTTCCAGAAAGCAGCCCTGGACTGCACAACAGTAGGTTGGGGATCGTGTACGCTCATTGGAGTAGCCATTGGTGACAAAGGATTGACTGTTTCTCCAATAGAGATACTAATGGGCCGTACTATCAATGGAACAATATTTGGTGGTCAGTGTTGTTATTTTTTTCTGCTAATTTTCTCCATATTAGTACTCAAATTGTTACAGTGAAAAATATTAAAAGAGAAGGAAAATAACTTGTTTAAATATTGAGTGCCTAGAATACATCTAAAGACTACATAAAAGCTATTCTATTAATTACTTCAAAGTAAACAGTTTGTATAGTAGGAATACTTGCAAATAGAAGTTCAATTTGCATTAAAATAAACCAACAAAAACAAAAGTCAAACTTGGACCAAACAAAGATCATTTCTTAGGCAGAAATAAAAATAATCTTGAATTTCTCCTATGAAAAAAAATGTAAGGTAAATAAAAGTATAGAAAAATTAAATATGGGGTTTAATCATTTGGAAAGAGCCAATCTGACAAAATAATTTCATTCACTCAATGGACAATGATGAAACTACTTCTTCATGTCAAGTACCACATCTTTATTAGGACTTTTGGCCAAATTACAGGTTGCAAAGGTAGAGATTCAATCCCAAAGCTGGTTACTGATTACA